CCAAGTAAACGTGCGTTAAAGACAGAGTGACTTAGAAAGCAGCTACCGAGATGTTTTTTTTAAACCAACTTTTTTTTCTCGCTCTTTCGATTGGTGTAAGCAAAAGTCGGTGAAAGTCGGCGCCAGACCCCGAAAAATAAATTTTTATTGACTTTTCACGTTTTCTTTTGTAATTTTACGTGTTTAAAAACAAAAGTCAGTTATTTCTATTAAAAAAATTATCAGTATTCTATTTACCATGCTTAGAATAGGTCGAAGTATAAAATATTGTCTTAAAATTAACTGTTAAGGAGAGAACGCATTAGGCGGTCGCGGTCCCGTCGCATCGCGGTCCGTTCTGGGCTGAGCTGATCGCGGTCTTTTACAAAATCAGTCGGATTTGGCAATTGCACACAATCCTGCTCGTGCTTTCCTTTAAATAGTTGCAGTATTGTTTTATTAGTTCTATAGAAGGGGAAGTGCGTCTTGATCATATCGCGGTCTCCCGAGATTCTTTGGAAAAGATCGGAAAATAACGCGATGCGAGCGAGAGGAGCTCGGGAACGTCTAGTACATTATAAAACATGGGAAGAAAATCCACCGCGCGCGATCGAGACTAGCACGGACCGCGATACGACGGGACCGCGACTGCCTAATGCGTTTTCTCTTTTACAGTTATTGCGTAAATTGTGTCTAGAATATTATTGAATCTCACAATATCAATATAATTACTACATTTTATAGTATTTAAAGGAACTGTTACATTCAATTCTACCATATTTTATTCAATGAATTGTATTGCTAGCGAAAGTTGTTTTTTTTTTAATTTTTATAAAAATATTAAAAGTAAAATAAATATTTAATGTAGACTTCGATGAATTTTGCCACATTCAAATCACGTGCTCTACAACGTAAACTATTAACTTGAAAAATTCATATATTTGGTTATTAACTTTTCTAACGAGCGTTCAAATAAAAACGTGGTCAAGTTGGTTCTGAAAATTTGGACGTAGGGCGTAGCGTATAACAAATGAACTTAAACGTCATCTGTCAAAGCGCTATATCGCCGCTATCAATTTGAATATTTTCGTTTTAAAAAGCATTTAAAAGTCCTACTTTAGAAATGGACGCAAGATTGATGGAATATGGAAGTATTATATTGAGGAATGTTTCATAGAATTTCAAAATCAATCTCCCGGCGTTGTTGAGTACAAAATTTTTCAAAGTGCAGTTCAGCGTTGTGTTAATGTTTTTCGTGAAACGGGCAGTGTAACAAGAAAAGAAGGAAGCGGCCGACCTTTGTCCAACAAATAATGGAAAATGCGCCAACAACTTCTGTACGTGTTTTATCACAAATGGTGGGAGTATCAGTCGGTACCTGCCACACAGTGTTAAAAAAAGATTTGCGTTTGCTCTCCTATCGTTTAACTTGTCAGCAAGAACTTCATGAAGTTGATTTTCCGCGACGGGCTGTATTTTGTGAATGGTTTTTAAACAACTACGGTGAACTTCATAATATCACCTTTTTTTCTGATGAAGCCTGGTTTCATTTAAGTGGTTACGTAAACTCACAGAATATGAAAAACCAGATAACTTTTTTGTCGAGGGGGATTTATGGACCTATTTTTTTTTAATATTACTCTTACTGCGCAAAGGTATAGAGAAGAAATTATCGCTCCTTTTGTTAACCAGCTGGAAAAAAACGAAATTACAAACTTTTACTTTCAACAAGATGGCGCAAGGGCACATACGGCAGGCGAGACGATGAATATGTTGAGGGAAGTTTTCCAAAATCGACTAATAAGTCTCAATGCTGAACATGAATTTCCACCGAGGTCATATGATATTACGCCGTGTGATTTTTTTTGTGGCCTTACCTTAAAAACACTATTTTTGAATTGCCTATTCCTGATTTAAACCATCTGCAGGCTCGACTTATAGACAAGATTCGTGAAATTAACAATACCCCGAGCATCTTAGAAAATGTCTTTAATTCTTTGAGGAACAGGTGTGAAAAGTGTGAAAAAACAAGGAGGGGGACACTTTCAGCAGCTGCTTTAATTTATTGTTATAACAAGGAGGGGGACACTTTCCGCAGCTCCTTTAATTGTTTGTTATTGTTATCACGATTATTCTTTAAAATAAAGTTATATAGTCATTAACGTTATTGAAACTGAGAGCTGCTATACAGCTCGTTGAGAAATGAGGTTAAGTTGGTCGCTATAAGCTACTCCCTACGTCCAATGTGTCAGAGCCAACTTCGACCACGTTTTTATTTGAACGCTCGTTATTTTGCAACTTAAAGATCTGAAATTTACACAGACATGAGATAATGTAATTACCTTTCGAACCTTTTTTTACTGAATTTCGATATCTTGACTTGGGCAGAAGATATACGCGCTCGCATTTTTGATTTTATAATTATGCAATAGGCCGTCATTGTGAAATTGAGGGCCCGGATTACGGGTATTTGTTGAGCACCCCAACAGTTATATTTTTCTGTAGTTTCATCCAATTTCAGTCAAAATCGTTCTTTTCATTTAATGCTGTAAATTGTGCACATTTTTTTCTTCACCGCCAATTTTGCAATGTAACAAACATTTTGCGAGCTTTCGCAAAAGTCAGTTCATGTAGCAAATTTCCTCAGGAACAAAATTGATAAGTATACATACCTTACTTAATTTTAAACCCATAAAATTTAAGATAGGCAGATTTTTGAAAAAAACCTAATTCGCCAACTATTTATATATTATCAGTAACATTATCAAAGATCTCGAGTCGTCAATATGACACCGTTTTGGCAGCTGTCAACTGCTAAATTGTAACTTTGACCTCATAGTAACACATTTTTGACGTAGTCCATTCGCTTTTTTGTATTATATATATATAAAATTTAATATCTATTGCTATACACATATACATACTCTGACATGTCAAAGCTAACCACGATTAAACCTTTGTTTCTGTTAAATAAAATGTCTCAAATTAAATGGTACCTACCTACCTCTTTAAACCGGTTTATTTCAAAAAATGGATATTTTATGGATATTCAACAAGTATACCTTTTTTTACGTAAAATACCATAAATTTTTATAAAATGATGGAAAATTTGGGGTATAGCGGAACAAAAATTTTTTTTCTAGAAATTTTGGTGGGAGGTGCTTTGCCGAAGATTTCATATTATCATCTAAAGCAGCTTCAAAAATTATAGATCCAGCCAAAATATTTTCAAAATTTATTGAAAAATACAAAAGTTACAGCAAAAAAAACATTTTTGATTCTCAACTTCAAGAGTTAATAACTCTACAGGGTGAGCCCGGAGGAAAAAATTATTATGAACTTGTGACATTATTTTCTCATTATCTATCCATATCCGAGAGATTGCCCACCAATTCCGGGACACCCTGTATATTTAATTTTTGTGGTCACTAGGTAAAGCAATCCTTAAAATACATGAAACACATTACTATCTATGCTGTGGTTTATGCAAAAGTTTCTCTTTATTAAAAAGTGATGTAAGAGGCGAGAAAAATGGATGCAAGTTATGTTATTTATTTAACAATTCCAGTATATCCGGTATGTATTTTTCATTAAATATATTTGGATAGTTTATTTTTATTTTTGATAATTATTATTGATTAGTAGCTTGTCTATGCAGTCATTTTCACCTAAATATTGGTATATGTCATAGACCTAGTAAACTAGAAAGAGAGGTCAATCGCGCTGATGTGTGCAAGGCAGATGAAGCTAGTTGAGGCAAATACCGGTAAAACAAATGATGGTACACGGGTATACCGGTACAAAATGCCAGAATTTTGAAGTAAATGTCATGTATTGACATTATTAATTGATTTCTTGAATTTTTGTGTGATTTAGTTATATTTATAAAAACTAAATATGGTGCAATCGTGTTCTGCGATAAACTGCGTAAAGAGACGTTTAAGTGGAGAAAAAATTAAATTTCATAGGTGGGAAAGAAGTTATGATGGTACCAACATATTTATACTTTTCGCATCTTTCTGAAAATAATGACCAAGTAGAGTTGTCTTTGATGATAACTGATTAGATTATATTATTTCCCCCATCCTCAAAATAAAATGTCATTTTAACGTCCAAATTTTGCCGCTTTAAATGTGTTACTCTTCAAATTATTTTTTAACATCAAACCGAATATAAAGAAAAAGTTTCAACTGAAATGTTCTTAGCAAAAATTGTGATCAAATAACATGTCAAACGAAGAAAGCATCGACATAGTTTCAATTTATACAGTTCTGCAAAGCAAGAAAATATGAAATATTTGAAACAACTACGTCAGAAGAGCTTGCAGTAATTTTAACCGATCGAGTTTACGATATGAGGAAAATAAATGGAGAAATACATAAATAAGGCAATATAAAAACTATTTGGAATATCATAACTAAGACAATTCAAATATTCTGCAGTAATTAGGCCAGTAATATAATAAACCCTTTTACATACCTACACTACTGGAAAAAATGATTTTTTTTTGTCTTTTGGTCTCTATATTATTTTTATAAAGTCTTTGAATACGGTCCAACAGAAAAAAGGGGTAGGGAATCGAGTATAGCTAGCTGATTGAATGAATTAAATGTAGCGCGCTGCAGTCGAAATTCTGTGAACGAAGCTTAAGCCATTACTAGCTCCATCTCTCTCGCACACGACTGAGCGATTGCCGTTTATATAGGCGAAATGACAGTTGGGCGAGTCCAGTAGTTTATAAGGTCTATGGTATATTTATAAGCATATTTATGACTACAAAAAAGGAATTTAGGCAAATTTTTAGGCAGTTTGAATTAAAAACCATTTAAAATAAAACAAAACTACAGACTAAAAATAAATGAAATATAGTAAGAAAAATTAAGCAAGACGGGTAAAAAATAAGTTAAGTAGTGATTTTTTTAATTACTGACATTGAATCCTTTGACAGATGTCTCTGATTATTGTATTTGGAAATAAAAATATTTTAAAATTTCTAACTTCTAACTAATAAGGTTATTTACCAGTCCTCTTCTCAGCGTCCCTGAACGTGACCTCCTCCAGCACCACGCCATGGCTTCTCCCTTTGGAATTTACGGCGAACACGACGATCCTAAAAGTCACATCGGGCTCCAGGTTGTCCAGGAAGAAGTACGGCTCTGTGTAGGAAGTCATATTGAACCTCGGAACGCCGGAGTTGGAGGAGTATAGTTCCAGGAGGAAATGTTGCGGTAATCCCCCATCGAAGCCGGGAAGGCAGAATACTTCCACGCTGCTGCTCGTCTGGTTCGACAGGGAGCAGTTCTTTACTGGGAACGGCTTACCTAAAACAATATTTTTGCAGATACAATGTAGAAGATGTAATGTATTACAATTTACACAGCAAGAAATCAGTTTACACACGCAGTTATTTTGGAACTAGGTAGTAGAATATTTTTTTGTCGAATTTTTCGTTTGATTTGTAAAAATGTTAAGAGTGTACTAACATTCACAAAAACCTTAAATGGTAAAAATTAAAATTAAAATTAATTGTTAAAATTTACACTAACATAAGTAATTTACGAAATTTGATGATTCTGCAACATTTACGAAATTTGATGATTCTGCAACTAGTCCAATCAAAAGAAAATAAGGTAAAAGCTCCCAATTTTTTCGGATACCTAGCATGGATTTTCCTGAAAATTTGCATACAAGCTCATCTGACCCTCCACTTCAAAAGTTATATTGTCTAGATGTGTGTTTTTTTTATTTGGGGGTGAAAACTACCCTTGTGCGAAAAAAATGCGAACATCGCAGATTTACTTATTTTAAAGATTCAATTCATGTTCAAATCTGTTGGATAAAGTTCCTTTCATGTTTTTTAATATAATTTATGAAATTTAATTACTTTTCAATCCTAAAAAAATCCTTAAAAACTACCCTTCCATGGCCAAAAAATAGAAACAAAAGTTTAAAATATTCTTTTGGTGCATTCACATTGTATTGCATTTCTTTTGTTATTCATTAGAAAGCTTACCACTCATTGCAAATAAACAAAAATATATTATTGAAAGCTTGAGATGTTTTAATGGTATTGATAATGATGAATTATAAACTTTTTATTGGTTTTCAAATGATCTATGATATATCGCAACTTTTCAGCCACCCAAAAAACCCTTATGGAAGACCCCCTTATAGAAAAATTTCCTAAAAATTATGAGTATGATGATATAATTAATTTTTTTTAATGTTATTGAATTTATTCTTAACATTTTTTTATTAAATTAATATCGAAAAATGCGATTAATTTTTTTACCATAACTTTTGTAATTTTAAAGTTATAAATTAACCCAAAAAACCATTTTGTAGGGAATTTAATGACTTTAAGTTCTGTGATTTGCAGTTTTTTGAGCCCTTCGTTTTTTAGATTTGTAAGCTAAAAGGGCTCAGGATAGGCAGTCTTGGAGCTTAGTTTTGAGCATCTAACGGTCATAATTCAGTTAAATTTTGTCCTACAAAAATTTAAAAAAAGAAAATTGTTCAGTAAGAAAAAACCTAAAATTTCTTATTCTATCATTTTTTTTAGTTTTTGAAATATTTTGAAAAAACTGCGATATTTTAAAAAATTTAAAAATTTTATTCAAAAGTAAATGAAAAATTCTTTTAAATTTAGGCTTCTAAAATTATTCAAATTCCCAGAATGTACTAATTGCAGAAGGAATACGTTTATTTCTTTTGTTCCGTCAAATCATTAATTTTAATACCGATTTTTTTTTTCTCAAAAATCAAGACAATAATTTTATTTTGATTGTAACTTCATTAGTTTTCATGCTAACGACTTCTACCATAACTCGATTTAAAGGTCTTTTCAAGAACTTTAATAGGTGTTTTATAAGTTTTTCTCAAAAAACCTTAAATTTTTCCGCTACTGGAAATTGAACGTTTCGATTAGGTATTAGCTATACCTTCGAAATTGACTTCAACTTCTAGGAGTCAAATTGGGGTCTATACCATCTACAAAAATAAAAAAAGCAATCTCTTTGCTATTTAATTACCTTCATTTTTACTTATGGTAATTTTTTGATAAAACTTGTTGTTTTTGAGATATTCGTGAAAAATGGCTCAAAAATATGCATTTTTGAGCTAAAAACGAACATGTTTAGGCGCAAATAACTCTAAAAGTATCTAAAAGTATTGATTGTACAAAAAATTCTTATAGAACATTTTTTGCTTATAATTCGTGCCTTTATCGAATCGTGAGGTTATTTTTAATAAAAAAATTCCCACCCTCCAGAAGGGGTGGTACCCACCCCTAGGGTAAAAGCACACATCGGCACTATATAACTTTTGTTTCTTGGGTTATTTCCTAGCTACAGTTCAAATTTGACGTCAATCCATTCCATTTTCTTATATTTTTAGTGCATTTTAAAAAAGCTTGTTTTTAAAATATTTTTTTTTACTTTCCATTTATTTCCTAATAATCTCGATCATCCTAAGATATGGCGAATGCGCCAATGTAAAAACTTTTTAACATAATCTTCGTTTTAATTATTTAACTCTGTCAAAATATCAAATTTATAATCCAATTATTTTAACACACGCACATTTTTCTTATTTTATGGTAAAACTTACACTACAATCTATTACAAACACATCTATTATTTAAATGATATCGCTAATTTTTTACTTTCAGCTAGTTGTTTAGTATTACTATAAAATTGCTATTACAGATCGGAAGCAGTTAATGAAAGATCAATAAATTTTGATGAAAATTTATTAGACTTTTTGCAACTTTCACAAAAGAGATAAAAATACATTCAAATAAGTATGTATGTCTTCTCCATGTAAATATTAAATAGCGTCACCTTTAGTGATATAAAACTTTAATTTTAGGAAAACAAGAAAATGCTGCAAAGTAGTCCGTTTGTCCTTTGATCTTTCTATTCGGTGTCATTAATTTGTATTTGCAGGAATGATGTTACAAATATAATTAAAGAAGTTCTTAACAGAAGCCCGACACACATTGATCTAGGATAATTGGGCTGATTTTAATATACATATTAGAATTTAATCGGAGCTTACGTGGATTTATACGATTATGTTCCTATATATTATACTTAAAAGAAACTTGACCTAACATAACTTTATAGATATCATATGCAAGAAATTTTAATTAGAACTGACGTCACTTTATTTATCAACCTTAAATTAAATTTCCCTATGTATGAATTACAGAATGAAAATGTAACCTAACCCTGTATAAAAATTTGCATAAGGTTAGATTAGGATGGTAGAAATATGTCAAGGAAATTTTATTCTAAATCTAGTTCCTGCTATTTCACTATTTATTGTCAACATTAATTTAAATAAACTATTTTGTATAAAACAGCGATATAAAAACAATAATAATAGCAATAGTGATAGTAGCAGTAATAGTAACAGTAGGAATAATGCATTATTAAAGCATTATTTAACCTTATTCTGAAATTGGCACTTAGTGGTAAAAAAATTCAGTTGAATAAAAAAAGTAAGGAAAATATATATAGGTATGCAAAAAATACATATCTGAAATTCATCCTAAAGATTCATTTAAGTAATAAAAAAACTGGGGGCTTACATTCTCTTTTGGAACTGTTTTTATAAATAGTGCCATATTGCTTTGAGCTGAAAAGCTGACATGTTTCCACATGGATAACTTGATTGTTAAAAATATTTTTATATTACTTGGCAATGTGGAGTTTTCCGAAGTAGATGTTGGATTGGGTGGATTACTTATATCTATAATATTTTTATATATACCTTTTTTTGTAAAATCATATATTTTTAAATATTCTTTCAAGTCGTATTTTCAATTATGTACAATAATCAAAAATACAAATTTTATGCAAATGTAAATATAGTAACTATATATACAGGGTGTTTGTAAATAAGTGCGAAATATTTTAGGGAGTGGTTGCCGAAGTTATTTTGTGAAAAAAAGTTCATATAAAGGCAGGTTGAAATATGCTTCGTTTCCGAGATAGTGTTTAAATTTGATTTTTTATTTATTTTTATTAATTATTTCAAAGAGTTTTAAAGACATTGACTGAAAATTTGAAACAGGCTTTGGAGGGATAAATGGGCATTTTTTGGGGTGATCCGAATATTTCTACTTGCACCAGTGTCGTTCGTGCGAAAATGCCACAACATTTTTTAATAAAAATGATTGGTACGCCACTGACTTTTTCCCGTTTCGATATTTTTTTAGAAAGCCGCCATTAATTCTGAATTGAATCTCTTGATTTTTTTTCGTAGGATGCACCGTTTTTGAGGAAAAAATAAAACATACATATTTTATTGCAGGTTTTGTTAATCTTTTATTTAAGCGTCTCTTTTAATAAAGCGTGGTCAAAGTAAAAATTCAACATTGAAAATAAAAAGTTGATGAATGTGGCTAAAAAATTCTTCGATTTCGAGGCACAGGATGTTGAAAACTATGAAAAATAAATAAAAAATTAAATTTTAAACACTGTATCTCGGAAAGGAAGCATATTTCAACCCACGTTTATATGAACTTTTTTTGACAAAATAATTTTGGCAAAAATTTCGCATTTATTTACAAACACCCTGTATATCTGATTCGTAATAAATGAATAAAAGTAACAAATGTTTTTACTAATTTGTTAGATATATTTTTATATTAATTAAAACTGTAATGTAATGTGATAATTCCTTTATATGGAGGAACATTTTCCATTTTTTGTTAAACAGTTTTGATTTTTGTGTTACAAAAGTGAAATTATGTATAATAATAATTAAAAAACAATATCCTGTAAGGACTAAACTTATAAAGCTGTCATTTGAAATTAACACATTTATTTTCCATAGCGTGATAATAAGCTGTACATATAAATGTAGATATATGCATATAGTGTTAGAACTCTGATGTCTGTTATCTTTATTTGAATACATAGATAAAATATATAGATATCCGTAATTTACCTCCCACATTTGAAAATAATTTTCCACATAATAGACGCACATTCATGCAACTCTTATTTATTTCGATACACGATAAATAAGCTAATTTATAGAAAAATAAAGAATACTCATTTTGTCTCTATTATTATTGTTGATCATAAAATATAATATATCAAAACTACTACTTGTGTAATGTATTCTCTTGATAATATATACATAAATTAGTTTCCAGATAAACTCAATTTTAAAATATGAATGTATTTCATATTCTTCCATAAAAAATATAAATCTCTTTTATTAAACGCTTATTTATATAACAGTTTATATAAAAATATAGTCTTTTTCCACGCACTTGTCTTAAAAAATATTGGGAGAGAGTTAAAGT